TCCTTGTTTCTCTGAGCTGCTTTCCTTCATGAACCTGGAGCAAGGCTGGTGGCCCAAATCTTCAGTGGTCCTCCTGTCTCCACCCTGCCACAATGTCTAGTTTATAGTTGCACGGGTGGCCACACCTAGCTTTTTACATAAGAGTTGAGGATTTGAATATAAATTCCCCATTGTTGTTCAGCAAGGGCTCTTAGGAAGGCATCTCACCAACTCCAACTGTGAGGTTTTTAGAGGATCTTACAATTAGTCTGTATTCTTACAGAGAGTTATTTTTCAGGTCATTAGAACAGTACAGAATGCAATTCATGCTTTGGGAATTTCTGATGAGATGGATTGGGTCTAGGACTGGGGTTATAATAATAGCACAAGCTTAAAGTATTTGAGGTCTTGGGTGTGATGTCCAGCATCAAAGAAAGAAAAGAGGGAAGAAGAAATCGAGTCTGACTTGGCTCTGTGTAGCTTTGGGCACACTTTATAATTTCTTTGAGCTTCAGTTTCCTTTATGAAAGATCCAGATAATTCCTCTTGCATCTTTATTATGTAAAATACCTAACTTAGTATCTGGCAAGCTTGCAGCAGTCCTCTCTTGTGGTTATTAGATGCCATTCCTACCGAAATCATTTTAAAGCTCTTGAATTTTATGGGGATTGATGGGTACTGGCCATAACAATAATCCTTTCAGGTAAAGGAAATGGAGATGAAATCTTTGGGAGTGAAAATCCATTAATTCAGTCATCTGAAGCAAAGAATGGAGATAATAAGGATGGGGTAAGGGGAACAGAGGTGCAATCTGTATAATGTCATTTTTAACACACAAGAGAGGGAAGTCCAGAAAGGGCACAATGGAAGGTGATACTGAGTTATCCTAGAAACTCAGCCTTTTGGAGAGAATGGGGAGCCAGTGATGAGTGTGTTAGGTATCTGCTCTGGTGGGAGAGATGGTTTCAGAAAGCTGAAGACTTCCTGATTCTGCATCCTCACTTCTGCTGTGTTTCCTGCACTCCATCTTCCTTTGCTTTGGGTTTCAGCCTTGCCAAATAGGCAGACTTCATCATTCTGCTGATAGCATCTCATCTGTTTGCTTAACAGTTCAAACACTTGGTCCTTTTCCCTTGGAAAAATCCTTTAAGATCCCATTGAGGAGGCACAGTTGGTGCTGTTTACCAACATGGTCTGTTTCAACCTATATCCTGCGAACAATTTGTTTCTTGGATTTTTCTATTTCTGTTGCATGATGATAGATCAGTACAGAATGCTCTTGCCCAGGTAAAGTGGCTTTTCCAATACTTATTGTTTTCTCACACTTGAAGCTTCTAAAAAGATTTTATACTCTACTAACTGATTAAAAATAAGGTAGGATTAAAGTAGATGGAGCAACTACAATGCCCTATTTTAGTAATTAATACTTCAGTCTTAATGCTTTATTCTCAAATATGTTTTGCATATCCAAATATATTCTAGACCAAGAAACAAGGAGAAGCAGGAACTTAAATCATATTAGGTTGAAACAGATAATATGGGATATGTTTTGGAGTGTGACTATGGTTTCTAAATTATTACAGAACTTATAGTATCAAATGTTTTTGAAAAGACTATGCTGTTGGGCTTTGTTTTCATTTGCTTCTCATTGTCAAGTATTGAGTCAGTATGTTATCATGTGTTCCAATCTTTTGGAATATCATGATTTTTGAACCTTCATTGTTATTTCATTTGTTTAGTTTATGTAGTCTAAAAATATTCTACTGCATATGTTCTCCCAGGCTCTGGGGTTGCAGTGCTGAGTTCAATCTAATCTCTCTGCTCTTGAGCTGTCAGTGTTTCTTGGCCAAAGGCCAGCTCACAGATGTGTAGGTGTGTTGGGCTTTCTCTTCTGTCACCACAGCCAGGGTCTTTGCAGGGTTTCCTGCATCCTTGCAGCTCAGTGGCCACCTCAGTTTGGTTTTGGCTTTTAGCAGTTAGCCTTCAAAGATCTTTTGTTTTCTGACAGTTGAAGAAACTGGCTCAGGGTTCCTACTCTTGGACAGTTTAATTGCTTAAGGACAATTGAAACGGTCTATCATGAATTCCCTTATTTTGAAGGAGGTTTGAAGTGTTGAAATTATTGCTCAGCACAGGTCCTGGTGACTGCAAAAAAAAAAAAAACTGTTTTGAAACATCAAAAAAAAAAAAAAAAAAACCTCATTCTTTTCTGCTTTGGCACTGTGTTTTGTCTCTCTAACAGACACCTCCTATTAGTTAGACATAAGACTGCTGCCCGAGTTGGTCCTGTTGTGGGTTGCTTCCAGAAGTATGCACTTTAGAATTGTTAAGTTTAAGGTTCTTATCATTAGTAAGCTTTTGTTTTTGTGTTGACAGATGAGAATGAATCTGTCTTATGCTTTGAAAATTTAGGGTCTGAAAATGCCTCCTCCACAACTTGGGGAAGCAGCCGGGAAAAGGGCACTCTGCGTTCCTAATGGAGGATTTCTATTTCCTGGCCCCTTTGACTACTAGGAATGTTTTGTTATATTACTTATTTCCACTTTTAGCACATTTTCATAGGCTGGTTTTTGTGGAGAGGCTGTGCTTCTATCATTATTGAGTAATTATTTGCTTTTATTTTATTTTATTTTTGGGGTTTTTTCGAGACAGGGTTTCTCTGTAGCTTTGGAGCCTGTCCTGGAACTAGCTCTTGTTAATTTTAAGCCAGGCCATTCTTAGGGCATCTTTTCTGCAGAGTTTGGCATACCTGTCACCTGGTAATCTAAACTTAATACAGTTCCTGGTGTTAACACTAGTTGCACAAAACACCCTAGTGGCCAACAGTAAAAACTTTTCTACATAGTTTACCTGTATCAATTCACCTGCGTTTTTTTTAAACACTACTTTCTCTTTTCTTCTTCCCATTTTCCTTTCCCTACCCTTTCCTCTGACGTGGTATCCCATAAGGAGCAACCCTAATCAGAGGTCTTAGTGGCTTCTCTCAAGATGGCCCTTGGGCTTCTCAGTGCCCTTTATCTGGACGGAACAAAGAAAGGAGAGCAGGTGGTTTCAGCAAATGGCAGTCAGAGGGGAATACCAGAGCCATGGGAGTGTTTGAGGCAAAGTAAGAGCGCACAGTGGCCTCCCAGTGTACCCAGCACAGCACTGGGAATTGAGTTCCAGAACTTGGAGCAGAATAAGTCATGTGAGGTGACACATTCTGCCATAGACTCAGCAAGTAGATGAGAAACAGAAAACAGACAACAGCGGGAATGCAAAGAACAAGCATGGGCCAGCCCAGACAGGAAGCCTGATGGCAGGGCCCTCAAATCTAAAGCAGAGAAGTACATATTTTAAACAAATGGTTTTATGTAGCAGAATAATCGTTGTCAAATGCTGCTGCATTCCCTTAGCTCCTGCTGCACTGCACGAGGACCGTCTTTCTTCCTGTGTATGTAGCGAGGATGCTTTCTGTTGTTGTTTTAGGTGCTTTTTTTTTTTTGATACTGGAATTCTGGAAGTGGAAACCGGAGCCTCATTTCTGCTAAACAAAGCTCTACCACCCCACTCCAGTGATGTATGATGCCCATTTGTTCCAGGACATATTCATACATAGAGTTGACATCTAGCACGGCGGAATTTGAACCTGAGCTGTTCTCTAACTTTGGGCTATTCACTTGTCTGACTTTTTGAGGTCGATTCCCATTCTGTGTGGTGGACATTGTTGATAATATGCTTTGCACCTCCCCATCCCCTACCCCCACTGTACAGACTTGGCTAAAGAACACCTGTGTGCCTAATCTAACATTTCTCCTCAGTCAGGGGGGAACAGAAGGGTTACCCTCTCTGTATAGAACAGCTAAGCATCATTCTTCTAACATTACAGAAGGCTCTCAATCGTTAAACGAAATGTAAAGTACTTGGGAGGAACAGTGTTGAAACGTCACGATCAGTGGTTGGTTAAATAGTAAAACACTTTTCAAAGCGTACATGTTTCTGTTCCCTAGAATTACATGCACAACTATCAGACATCAAGCCTATTGTTGGTTTGACTACTAAGGAGAGTGACTCATATATTTTTCACAGTTATATACCAGTAAAATCATCTTGGTAACATTTATCAAATTTTGTTTTTTATAATATGAAAATTTAAAGCATTTGTGTAATAATGATCTTTTGAGGGCCTTGTTCCTTAGAGTGGATACTGAATCACTGAGGACAGACAACTTCTATTTTATTCAGTGTTTTTAGATTTTTATCTTTTTATGTATTAAAAAATTGTCTTTTATTTCGTAATTTTATTTAAATTGTATTTCAAAACTGAAAGAACCAGTATTCTAGTGTGGACAGGTAACTTCTTACCCGTGCCTGAGCACTGCTGGGCCATGAATCAATTTTACATCTGCACAGCTACCCTTGTCATCTTGTTTGTTTTCTCTTCCAGTGTAGCTCCCAGAATGCTCACAGCAGCATCTTAATATTTTCCTCTTTGAGAGAAAAATAATCTGAAATTTTCTGAAAGTCTCCACTTTTATAAAAATGCTGTTCCCTGTTCACTTAATGTTAAGTCATTAATTAAAAGTTCAGTGGCTAAGCTAATATTCCTTAAAAGCTGCACATAAGGAATACAAAAACATTTCTAGTTATTTGATGGCCAAATAAATACTGGTAGTTTACAAAAACTGGGCGCTTTGTGTTGGCTTTCCTTTGATTAATCATGGAGTTTATAAACTTGGGTTCGCATAGATACATGTGTTTAATCATCTAAAATATTTATAAACTTTGCTTCTTGTACATTTGTGTGTTGAGGATAATCTGTGGCTTTCTGTGATCATTCTCTCTCAGATAAAAGTCACAAGGATTATCAGCTGTGCTCCTCATGGAGGTTAAATATGAATCATGTAGATAATTTATTTTGTATCTCATATAAATTAAGCAAATGTTACTAAAATGTCACTGCACTGTTTGTTTTGCCTGTCAGTTTATGTATGCCGCGACTTTAAGTTTTTGAGCCTCATTTATTGCTACCATTTGAACAGGTGTCTCAATGCTTGTACCTACTGCAAAACTAAACACGCCAGAGGAAACCTGGCCAGCTATCCCATTGATGAACTTGTAGAGAGAGCCAAGCAGTCCTTTCAAGGTAAGAGTTTCTAGAATTATGTGCGAAGTCAGTCGCCTTAAGAAGTCATATTCATCTTCTAAGCAATTCTGCTTTTAAAATGGTTCAAGTTTCTTTAGCTGTCTGAGGCTTAATTGTGTCTCCTCAGCTAACAGAGGATAGTATCAGATTAATCATCCAGGCCGTGTTTATTTTAATTATGGTCCTGTATGACTTTTCCAGTTAATCACTCTCAGGTAAACAACACATTGCAGCACCACCCATATCTAGGTATAGAAAAGGGAAAATAGGGGATGAATGAGTGAAAGAAATCAGTCAATCAGTCAGTCCGTCAGTCAGCCATCATCTACACAGCTCTGGATTTTGTTCGGACTTTTGTGGGGTGAATGAGATCCACAGCTGTGGGTCCTGGGAGTAGTGGCACTGGGCAGAGCCCTAAGAAGAACAGCCTGCCTGGGCTGTCCTGCCCTAGGAATCAGTGCCCCCTGCCCTCAGCAAATAGCAAGGCTTATCTTTGACATGAGTCATGGTTGTTTTGACACATAACTGCTTAAACCATGAACTTCCTCTTTTTCTTTGTTTTTAATCTGTCTATATAACATGGTGTGTTTTTACACCCAACATGCAGAATGTCTGTTGTCTCCTCATCTTGTGGCTTAATAGTTACTGGCAATGTACTTTTCCTTTTAGCAAGTAACTTGGAAAACTGCATTCAGCACTTAAACCTGAATGTCACAATGTTTGCATTCCAAACACATTTCTTCATTCAGTCTATTTAAAGCTCTCATCAACAGGAATTTGGAATGTTTTGTATAATAGAGAAAAACATACCCTTGGTTCATTTATTGACATAAAAGCCAACTTTTTAACCATTTGTTTTATCTTACTCCTTTGCTGTGTTCACATTAAACAGGTGCTGATAAGAAGCAAAGAGAGGTGGTTGGGCTTTGATTACACTGTGTTTTCTATGTCAGTTTTGTTTGTTTGTTCTGGGGAAACCATGGAGATTGTATTTTTTGCAGCAGGATTCCTGGAAGCAATTTCAGAAGGGGCACACGTTTGGATAGAAACCTTCTCTATGCACTTGGTCATCTTGGCTGGCACTTTTGGCTGGTGCTTGCCTTTCCATGTGTTTGTTTGATGATGGGGATATCAAGTGTGTCTGATCTATGAACCAACCACTATAGTTGGAATTTTCTTTGGGCTGCCCACCGGCTCCCAAATAAAGACCTGGAGATTCATTATTAATTATGAACAACCTTAGCTTAGACTTGTTCCGCTAGCTCTTTTACCTAATTTAACCTGTTTCTATCATCTACGTTTTCCCTCGGGGCTTTTTACCTTTCATTCTCTACGTCCTACTTTCCTGCTTCCCTATGTCTGGCTGGCTTATAGCGTCTTTTCCTTTTCTTTAATCCTCACGCCTAAGTGAATGCCTTCTCCTACTTACTTTCCCTGCCTGGAAGTTCCACCAAAACCTCCTGTCTTGCTATTGGCCATTCAGCTGTTTATTAGATGAATCAGGTGCCTTTGTCAGGCAAGGTAAAACAGCAACACATCTTTAATTCAACAAGTATGCCACAACATAAAGAAACACAGCACATTTTTTATATAATTAAACAAATGCAACACATGTTTGCACGGTTAAATATTCTGTAATGAACCACTGTTAATTATAAGTTATAGGAGGCGGTACTTCTCAACATTATGAAATTCCACAGACTTTTAAAAACCTATCTCATTTCACTTGAAAAAAGGTGAAAAATATAAAACAACAACATGGCTATTTAAGCGTAAAGAATTATCTTCATTCCTTCATAATTGATCCTTACTGTTGATAGCATTGCATCATGACTTTATACGAACCCACTCATGTTTCATACATAATTTAAGAAAAGGAAACATGAATTTTAGAAATTGGTTAGGGAACTTTTGTAATTGCTTCCAGCTCAGCAATCTGATTTCTCTTCTGAGCAGCACAAGGCAGTTTCTTCTCTGGTTAGTCGGTAGTATCAGCTCTGCAGGGCTGGGCTAGTGCCACAGCTTATCCAAGATTAGCAGCAGTTAGTGGCTGCTTATGAAGAAAGTTCCAGAAAATGGTGCCATTTTTGTCATTATTTATTTGTGTGTTATTTTTATTCTCAACTGGATTTTGGCACTGTAGGCTTCAAACTTATTGTCTTGGTATCTGTATCTTAAGTATTGAAGCTGGGACCCTGGGTCTTAGGTGGCTGAGTCATTTGACTGGCTTATGGCCTTGTTCCTGTAGCACTGCGGCCCTTCTACTTGCTAAGGGAACTGCTGTGTGCAGGAGGGCTGCTGTAGGCAGTTTGTAGTTGAAACTCTGTCCAACCTCTCCAAGCTGCAGTTTCTCCTCACTGCCAACTTAGCGTTATCTGTTGTAAGAATTCTAGACATGTGTAAGCTGCTGGCTGTGTGAAAAAGAATGAAGTAGATGTGTTCCTTACAGTAAAGGCATTTCAAATGAATCCAAGAGGAGAAACCGAATTTCGGTAGAACATTGTAGCGTCTGTTACAGAAGTAAATGACTGTGATCCAACCGCAGGCTTTATTTTTGCTTTAAAATGTGTTTTATGAGAAAATTCTCTATAGATAAGTTATGAAATATGACAGTCACTTTTCATTTTCTAATTTAGAAAAATGCAAATTTTTGTCCCATCATAGAACATAGCTTTGCAAGGTGGCACCGTACACAGATCGATTAGGTAGCGTTGTTTTTTTCTGCAAAGAACCATGAAGCTTAGGGTCACATAGTATTCTAAAGTCTGCATTTTCAAATCACAAAAGATAATCTCCCAGGCAGCATAATAGAAGAAATGTCACTTTTTATTTCTATGTCTTATTTATTCTTTAATAACTCGTGTGTCTTTGAGCTACAACCATTCTACCATGATTTAGAAGGCTTACCCCACTATGGGCAACAATCGTGGGTCTGTGACGAGTTTCTCAAAGAAGAAATGTAAGTATGCTATCAGTGAACTCTGCTATCAGTACAGATACATTTCCTGTCCTTCAGATGCTGCTTTCCCTCCTCCCCGCCTCTCCTCTCCCTTGCCTTTCCCCCCTTTTCTTTCAGCCTCCCCCCCCCCCCCCCCCCCCCCCCCCCCCCCCCTCCCCCCCCCGCTCCTCCCCCCCCCCCCCCCCCCCCCTTGAGACAAGTTCTTGCTGTTTAGATCATTGAGCTTGTATGTGGACCAGGCCTGGCTTCAACCCTGTAGCAGTCTTCTTGCTTCTGCCCTCAGAGTGCCAGAATTACAGAGATGTGCCACCACAGCCTGTTTCTGTGGCCTTTTCTTTCTTTCCTCTTCCAATTTTGTTTAATGGCTTCTGTGTTCCAGTAATACAAATGATTTTTCTTAAAAAAAAAAAAAAAAAAAAAAAACAACCTTGTGTAGACTAGGATTAGAAACCAGGTTTCCTCATGCAATAGAACATACGGTAAGTGTGTAATTTCTCCCTAGTAGCGTATTCATGAAATGTTTCATGTGTATAAAAAAATCAATTCCTGTCTCTGTAGTGAATGTGCATAACTACAGGCCACTGAAAAACAGGTGGTACTCGGAAGAGAAAATGCAGGAGACCGGGAACCATTCTGGATAAATGGCTCCTGAATGTGGATTTGCCCCTCCTCCATTCACCTGCCGAAAGGGCGCCTGTTAACTTCTGAACAAGGCAGCGTTGAAGTCAAGACTCTATCTCATAAACATCGGCCTTCATTTCTCTCGTACATAAAGTGTGTGCATACTTAGTTGGTTTCTTAGTTGCTTTTCTTTTTTACACCCACTTTAGTCTTCTAGGCGTTTTTCAGTGACCCTTTTTACTTTCTCAGTGGTTTTCAGTTTTGAGACAGGTCTGTATTTGTGTGTTGGGAAATTGTCCTCCCTACCTCCCCCCTGCTGAGTCAGGATTCTTTTTCTCTTTAATAAAATCATAGGGATTAGCTGTAGTTGTGGTCCCTGGGCTAGGATTGCTGGGTTCCTTGTAGCTGCATTTTTAGATATCTAGAAAAACATGTCAAGTAGTGACCAGGACTTTGTCGGGGCCAGATTGCATTCACAGGCTGCTGTTTTCCAGGATATTTGTATCGATTTTCTCCAGCAGCTAATCAATCAGTTTCAGTTGTGTTCTCGATGGAGCAAACCTTTGTGTGTGTGCAGGGAGGGTGAGTGGTGTGGAAACGGCGCCTTCCATTTCTGTCTCTGAATCAAAACGTGGGGATGATGGATGGGCTGTTTTCACAGTTATCGTGTGCTTTCTAGATCTCATTTGTGTGTTGCCGCCCCCACCCCTTTCTGCCCTCATAAATCTGAAAAGCCCCTGCAACGTAAGTGGCATTAACCAGTTAGAGACATAATGTAAATTATGATGAAGCATTCAGAACAGGAAGACAAAGTTTTGATGCCTAGTGATTTCAGGATTACTGTTGAAATTTTAAAAATCAAATTCCGAGCCAAAGGCTGGCAAAGAACACAGCCTGTTATGGTTCAGTTTAATGTGAAAAGCAAAGAGGAGACATTGCTTCCTGCTATGTTGAGTAGTTAATGCTGGGAGCAATATTGGATTTTCTGTTGTATTATCCAAATTGCTCAGTTGTGGAGCTTACATGAAGCCCCCATTTGACTATCACCTCTAGTCATGATTACTGTATAATGATTTTTGCCTCAGTATCAAAAAGGGACCAATAATGGCATTCTATTAATTTATGTGGCAGTTAAATATCTAATTCCCTTATCTTTTCATTTGTGCAATATTCAAATAAAATAATCAAGTAAATGTCTCCTATAGATTACATTCATTTGCTATACATTGTCAACTCTAGAAGGAATTTAAGTACCCCACATTAAATGATTATATGTAATGAAGTATGAAAATGAAAGCGACATAAAGCAGCTTTCTGTAAAAAACACAAGATAATTTTACTAACCCGGGAATCCTGGTCTGTCTCGAAAAACAGGGAAAGAGGAAGTTTCATAGTTTCATGAACACACGAAGGCAAAATC